AGCCCTGGGAGCCTGAAGAATGAGGCATCCGCCGCACCGGCTGCCCGGCACGTATGGACTACGGTGGGCCGTTAAAAAAACCACAGCCCCATCAGTTGGGTTTATCATTGCTGCGGTTAGTACCTTCTGCGCGTTCCGCAACCACTCAAGCTCATCTACTGTATTCGCTAGCTTATCCACGTTCTGCTCGACAAGCCCAAAGATAGTTTTGAAGAGAAGGGCACCGTCTCCGGCGTCAATTACCTCGGTGTTTTCGAGCGCCACCTCAAGCTCTGTTTTGCCACAATGGTGAACGATGGTCACCGTGGACGGTAGCACCGTTGGGCCATTCATGGATGCTATAGTCTTCAAGGGTGTTTCGTTTGCTGCTGACCCCTCAACATCGCGCAACAATGCGATGGAGTCGGCCCTTGTCGCCTCCAAGGATGACGAAATCGTGGCAATGCTGATGGGCGGACTTACGGTCAACGACTCGGAGGAGCTTGAGGAGGAGACTAGAGAGCTGGCGGGAAAGACTCAAGGCTCGCAGGAGTCTGATGGGGAGGGGAATCCCTACGAGTACAACGAGGAAATGGGCACAATCGGCTTCAGCCAACCCCTTGATTTGGATGAAGCAGACGGTGCGTGGTTTTCGACGTTGATTGAATTAGACTTGACGCTGTTGATTCAGACGCAATCATTGTAGGCGATGCTCAAAATCATGGTGTCGTACCAGTGCCTGCTACCATCGTTGATGTCGAGGAGCTTGAAAACGTATTGGATGGCCATCCACCGATCGTGGCCTCACGCAGACCAGCAACGACCAAGGTAGCCCCCAAGCCCAAACCCAAGCCCAAACCCAAACTCAAGGGTAAGGGCAAGGCCAGCCAAAAAGATCTAAATCAACCAACCGCTGGGGCTGGTCTTGCAAGTGGTGTACCTGAGCCTGTACGCTTTGCCAGTGGGCCAGACTCCGAGGCAGCTGATCTTGCCGCCGGCACCGGCCCGGGGGCACCCGCTGGGCGTGGTCGAGCACGTGGTCGAGGACGCGGTGGAGGACGCGGTGGAGGACGCGGCGGAGGACGTGGTGGAGCAGTCGCAGATGCGCCTCAGGTTGTGAGCCAACACATTGCTGAAGATGATTCGGAGCCTGTGAATATCCAGCCTGCCAAACGACGCAGCCAGCGTGGAAATGTGGACACCGTGAATCAACGTGGTCAACGTGCGATGTCAACGGTGGTCGGAAATGAGCATGCAGCGGCTCCGCCTTCTGCGGGCCGTCGTCGTCAAGTTGTTCTCGACGTTGCTGATTCGGATTCAGACTCCTCCCCCCTCTCTGAGCTGGCGTCTGCTGGTCATGCGTCAGATTCTTAATAGGGTCAGTACTTCCAAATCTCTAAGCGTCGTCGTATTCGAAATGTCCGTAGCAACCATCCAAGTCGTCATATCCTTAGTTAGCGCGTTGTAGCCGAAAAAAAACATACATTCTTGTCTTTCATTGGACTGACTGAGTTGTGTATTGATATGTTTTTCCCTTTTGTCAGGTCAGATGCTTGTAATAAAAACCCATTTCAATTTAATTGTCAATGGCTATTGAGGGGGGGGGGATCATATCATAGCCATCATATTACACCTTTTGTTATGGAAGTTTAGTTTAATGGTTATTTTGTACTTTACGCGCGTAGCAGCCACCGGTTCAAACCCCCTTGTAAGCATTTAGTTAATTCATTGTAAAATTGTAACTCCTTGACTGACCACGCCTGACCATGTTAACTTAACCTTTAATTAATAACTGAAACTGAACAAGCTAATTGACCATGTAGTAAATAATCTAATACAAGTGATCATGTAGTAAGTAATCTAATACTAGCGTACCAGTAAAGTTACTGAGGATTAAATAAATGGCTTCAGTCCGAAAAGAAAGATCAAGAGCTGTCCGGCCTTATCTCGTTTAGATCACGCTCTTCTTATCTGATCAGCCCTGTTCATCTGACTCAGTGACTGCCAACTGGCCAGGCCAAAGTTTCTGATAAGATATCGGTGAGCTGGTCAGGACGCCGACAATGGCCAGAGCCCGAAACCGGGCCAGAGCCCGAAACCGGACCAGAGACCCCGAAACCGGACCAGAGAGCCCGAAACCGGGCCAGAAGCTTTGATCTGGCCGGAGCCTGACCAAGGCCGAAGCGCCTGACAGCCTGGTCACGCCTGATCAAGCCTGTTAAGGAAAAAAAAAAATTTCCGACAAGTAATACAGAATGCTACAGACAGCAAGTGAGGACATAAGATCTGCAAATAACATAAAAGCTTTAAGTGACAAGACAGGCTTCGACCTAAAAAATCAATTAGCGACAGTTATAAGTATATTTTGAAAGCTCTACCTATCAGAGGTATATGTTTTTATAGTTTTATAAGGCCAAGGTCAATTAGCTATTTATATTAAGAACTGATGCACACTGATGACTTAGAACAATACTAGTAATAATATAGATTCTCATCCTCAGTTAAGTAACCAACTAAAGCTAATACACACAGTTATTGCCTGTAATTTGAACTTAGAGAGAATTTTAGGTAACCTATGACTTATATTAAGCTCTAGAAGTGAGTTGAATACACACTTGACTTGCTAATAAAGAATGTTTCTGGTACTAGCAAGATTTAAGTTATTAGCTGATGACTTGTAAAGAAAGTAACTTTAATAACTTTATCAGAGTTAATGTCCAGCAGAGTTAAAGCAAGCCGACTATTAAAATATAAGACTTATGCCATGCTACTGAAAGGGTAATATACAACCATTAAATGCCAGAAAATGCTTTTTAGATGACGGAGGTAGGAGGAGAATGTATGTAAAAGCGGTATAGCAAAAGCTGTTTGTTCAAAAGCAAAAAGTTCAAATATTAGAGCCTATATAAGTAAGATAAACGATTTACAGCTTTGTATCCTGATTAGGATTAGTCAAATTTGACAGCTTTTCTTGCCCATTTGTGGCTTTAACAACAGTTACCCCAAAAATGGAAATGTGGAGCAAATGAATTGCTAAGGCCAGTGCCAAACATGTGCATAAATTCACATGACATCTGCTTAATATAAGAGTAATTAAAGTCAAATAAAAGAACCTTAGGTAGCTAGCAAATAATTAAGTTAGATAAAACAGTGGTGTTGCTTCTTGATTTATTATTTGTACAAATTAAAGTATACATAAACACCCCCATAATCCCCATTTACATGTTATAAGCTTACTCATCTGACTTCTGTTAAAAATAACTATGATATACCCCTTAAAGCTGATAAAGCAAATCATAATTTACTATACTGTCTTATTACCCACTCTTCTTTAGTAACTTCTAGCATGCTGCTTAAATATATTTAGAAAAGAGGCTTTGCCTTTACATATAATCTTGTTCCAGAATATTGTCAGGGGATGAGGGTCCAGGTGCCTAGTTGATACCAAAGCCGGGGGAACAGCCCCACAGCCAACTACTTAAGTACAGGGCTATCTGCGCACGGACCATCACGTGATCAGTCACAGCTGTCACATCACATGCTCCCCTTACAAATATTAATATGTGTTCTACAGCTCTTGGTCATACCTAACTCACCATATTTTCTAATACTGAACTTTAGGAACCATAATTTGTGACTTCTACCCTTATGTGAGCACTAGTCCCGGGCCCAACCCTAAGCTATTTGATAAAGTCAAAGCCAATCCACCCACTTCAACTCCTGAACTCCAATCATTTTTTTTGGAGAATTACAAAAAGGATTTAGATACAGCCCAAAACACACACACACACACACACACACACACACACACATGCCTGCATAAGTATCTACAAAGCCAAAAGAAGGGCAGGTTCCAACATAATCATTCTCTAATCATAGTAGCATACCACACTTGCCAAAAATTGGAGATATAATAATATGATAGTGCAGGATATGCAGCACTTATTGTGACTAGAATGGTATGCCCTAGTAGTGTCAAGTGATACCTAGGCTGGACTCAGAGGGACCATAGGTTTCCTTTAACACATTCTGATTCTGATTTGTCATCTTTCATTAAGTACATTTCAAGAACGTTGCTTAAGTTTTGGGTAGTGCCATATATTGTTTTAATACAATTATGCTCAGGGAGGTTACCAAACACTGACTTTGCCCACAGACTAAACATGTTAGAAGAATTTTTACTCCCTATAAAAATATGATAGACTGACACTCCTAATAGACATGAAAAATCTGGTTTTATTAACTCAGCCTATTGATTTAATTTTGGGTGAATGGAATCTGATTTTAAATCAGCCCAGTGTAGCCCAGTGTGCACATTTTTGGATGATGGTTGTGCTTGCATCACCAAACAAGTTCGCCGGAAGTCATCGGATATGCCCGGAGGTAGATGTGAAATTCGGCCGGCGCAATCTATCAATTGCATAACGAGCCAAGACGGTGACGTCAAAGCCTTCTCTCGGGGCCGTTGGCCTTTCCTTCCCCGCGTCATGTGGCTACTGCTCTTCCGCCACGTTCATCGTCGTCGTCAGACCCCACTCGCGCCGCTCCTCGACATGTTCCCAGCGTTGCGGGGATGTGTGCCTGAGCCAAGCCTGAGCACTCCCGGCACTTTTCATAAATCCCCGTGTTTCATCGGCATCAATATTTTGCATTTTCAATACCAGGCCTCGACCCTGCGATCCGACGGAGCGCTCCCACGCGGCGTCGCGACCCCTGAAGTCAAAAGACCGGCGCCGTGACAGGGAAGGGCCCAGGGAGGATTGGCGCGCCGCCAATCCCCGAGGCCCGAGCGACACCGATGCCCGGTGGATTTTCTGCAGATCGCGGCGCGAATCCCTGGACCCACTTCACGTCTGCGCTGCCCTGCCCTAAGTATGAGCGACGGGGGCAGCGCGCAGGACGGCGCCGCGGCCAGGCGGCCGCTTCTAGCGTGGAGATGAAACACATGTGTGTGCGCGTGGCCCGATAAGGCAATGCGAATCATGGACACGCGTCACGCGTCGCCATCACGGCGACGAAATTTGTCGTCACCATTCGGCGGGTGGCGAGCGCTGTTTCCCTCTGCCCCCCACCCACACCCGCCGCGACGTGCTGCGCGAAAAGCCACGATGCACTACATGCCCCCTGCTTATGGTCCAAGGGGGGACGACTACGTCTATTCCGACCCGCATAGGTGGACGGCACAATCTCACTCTCATTCTTCGCCCGCGCCGTCGACTTCGGCGACAGGGATGGGCTTCTCGATGTACGACAATGCGGCCGCGGATATCGCTGGGTACGGGGTCTCGCCACCGACTCACGGGGTCTCGCCGCCGCCTCAGACAGGCAATGGCCACCACTCTTCTGCTTCTGGCCCCGGCCGTGGGACACGGGGGAGGGGGCGGGGACGTGGGAGGCCAAGCAACGTTGGTCAGCATGTCGATGTGGTCGGCGCAGACGAGGGCGACGATGACGATGGTGAGGGTGATGGCCCGCGGGACGAGCGGCAGCGCTACCCATGCCCAGAGTGCCACAAGCGCTTCAATCGACCAAGCAGCTTGCGTATTCATATGAACGTCCACACGGGGGCCATGCGTGCGTTATCAACCCCTCATATCTTTCTCTCGTACTGAAAACAACGGATTCTAGCATTTGTTTGTCCCCACCCAGGCTGCGGCCGCGCGTTTAACGTCAACTCTAACATGCGACGCCACTTCCGGACCCATGCAGCGCTTGCGGCTGCCGCTGGTTCCCTCACATTTTCTCACACCAACCCCGAACAACATCACATGCAAGGCGCGTTTGCGGCTGGCGCGGAACCGAAAAGGCGCGGAAGGAAACCCGGGGCTACCATTAACAAGACTTCTGTGAAGCCTGTAACGCCGCCAGTGCCTACAACGCCGATGACAACAGCAGAGAGGCAGCGTGCTGCCTCGCCGTATGGTCATCCATACCCTACTGTGGCAACCTACACCCCCGACCGACCCCGTTCTCCTGCCGCTGCCAGTCGGCATGCGCCTGTCAGCGCCCCGACCCACTCATTCTCGCGCGACATGAACAGCCTCAGATATGCCTCGCCGCTCTACGGAGCGCTTCCCCCGCAGCCGCCGGGCCCATACGCATGCGAGCAGTTCCCCCGAGGCGGGGAGCTCGGGTGGGCGTGGGACACGGGGTTCGCGTCGCCGATGGTCGGAGGCCGCCACAGTCCCCACCCGGGCCGCCACAGTCCGTACCCACCCCCGAATTCGACGGGAGACTACAGCAAGATGCCCGGGCCATGCAACCGCGGTGAATACCCGCCCTATGTGCGCCTGCCGCCGATCTCCACCTTCGCGGCGCCCTCCCACGGTTATCCCTCCTCGCAGTCGGCGAGCTTCCCGAGCTCCGCTGCCTCGTCCCATTCGTCGCCACTCCGCCGGTCGGCGTCCGCGTCGAGCGGGCCGAGCGTCGCGAGCGGTGGCTATGAAAACGGAGCCGGTGGCGAGGAGGATGCAGAGGGCGAGCCGGATGAGGACGGGCCTGCCTCTGGCGCGAATAACCACGTGCAGGACTGGGGCACCCAAACGCCAGGGCTGCGCGGCGGCGTATGAGGCTACTATGAGCTGGAGATGACTGTATATGATACCTCGACAATGTCGGACATAATCTAAATTTACATATACTGACCTATTTCGATCAATTCAGCGGGCCTGTGACCCGTGACCGTTTGGCCGAAATGTTCAATTCGGCCGCAGGCCGAATTTCGCGTGACTTGTTACCTGATTAGGACATTCGCGCAGGCGCGGAAAATTTGAAAATCATCCTAATTGGGACACTTTGGGACCAAAAGATTTGGCTGTGACCCGTGACCCGCCGAAATATTTCGGCCAAAAAATCCCATGTGACCGTGACCGGCCTAATTGAAGGAAATGGGTCAGTATACTTACATTCTCTTGGTGTATGTAGCTGCTTGTATAGCACAGACTTGCTCGAAGCGATGACTGGCGTGTAGATCGTCCAACTAGTCCTCAGAACTACTTACGCGCCACACGATCGTTTCACCACATTCCCTTGACCCATCGCTGTGGCCTCCTCCGGACGGTGACGCAATTTGATGCGCGCATCACAAGCAGGTTCCTCAAGCCCGGCCCCGGCTTGGCCCCGGCCGAACACCACCGCCAGGAAATCCGACCATCTATCAAGGAGGCGCCGCAGTTGCTAGCATATGTAGCCGCATAAGGCAGGCCGAGCACTCCGCCGGCCCGCTTGACACAGGGCTACCGTCTACGCCTCTCAGCTGTAAACGTAACCCACCTAACCTACTGTAGCATTCTGTGGGGGGTGAAACATAACACATAACACCCCCACTGTTTCGTTTCCAAGTTCTGAAGCACATAACCCGTAACGCAGCAGCTGTTTCAGTCTTCATATTGTACAAAAAAATCCATTTTTTTACCTATAAAAATCTAGATCTGCTAAAATGAATAAATAAATACATGCTTAAGTCGCCATCTCAATACACTGTCTCCCCATAGGCCAAAATGTCCTCCAGAATACTTGCGGACTCCAGTCCATCAGCATCATCTGCTACACGATACTCCGTGCTTGTTGCACCATCCAAAGCAGCATTCACAACCTCTTCCAGCGGCACATCGTCATCATCATCACATCCATGATTAGCAGTGGCTTCGTCGGCTCCTTCACGCTCCCGCGTTTGTCAAGATACGATCCAGTTTGGCAGCGCCGCAACGGTTGCGAATCTCATTAGCCAGAGTGGGATCCGAGCCGAGATATTCCAGCAGCGCGCTCTCGCTAGCGTCGCCATACAAGCAATCTTCAGAAAGGGACCACGGAGAGTTGGGAATTTTGCATTTGGCCCAGGCCTTCTGCACAATCCTCCGTCCCTCGGCAGTGTTCATGTGTTCATACAGGTCGACATGTGGCTGAACAACCGTGTCGCGAAGCTCTTTGACTTGAGTTGGAAAAGTAATGTCTGGTGGTGCGATGTCTTTGGCAATCTGTTCACGGACATGATCTGCCAGCCATGACTGAGCGCGTTGCTTCAAGAAGTGCTTGAGGATTCGATTTAGCCCGACATCACATGGTTGGGCGATTGGTGTGCATCCACCAGGGACATGGATGAGGATAATGAATGGTGCATCGGCGAAAACGAAGGTGCGAAATTCGGTGCCTGTATGGACAGGGTAAATGTCGATATACACAATCATCTTTTGGTCGCTTGGAAGGTTTAAGCGTTGAATGACATCGGTCCGGTGTGGCTCAAGGTGAGTAACGACCCAACGTTTCATTGTGTGAAAGGTCAAGAAGTGGCTGCTTTGTTTCTTGCTTTTGGCAGAAGCGAAGGTCAGACCATGGGCAATGGCCTTGTCCATACCAGGCGCGATGCTGCGTGGAAGGGAGCGGTCCGTGCTCCTGTTGAAAACAAGCTGCTGGGGTAGAAAGTCACCAGCGAGCGTGACAGCGATCAGTGCTGTGTAAGAGCGCTTTTCATCTTTACTGGTGATGTCGACTTGCTTTGCGCCAACCTCGTGAAAAGTGCGATTGCTGGATGGGACAAGAAGAACCCCAGTCTGGTCCGCGTTAATCACAAGCTAGTGAAGACGAGTCAGAACAGCAACATTGCAACAATTCGGACCGACCTCTGGTGGAATCTTGTGGGCTTTTATGGCGTAGCGGATGCGGAAGAAGGTCCGACAAAGCTGTTCTGGTGCATCCTTGGGTATGTGCTGTGCCACTCGAGTTCCTGCGCGCGATGAATAGTTCATAACACTTGCTAACCAGTCGCGGACATATTTTTCAGAGATTTTGAAGCCTTTCTCGAGGAGCTGTGGAGCCACCGCTTCTACCTGGGCACGAAAGAGAGCACGGACGATAGACGGCGTAACTGGGGTGCCAGCAATGCGGAATGTGCGAACGGTCGTGGCCACAGAGTCCGAAATGCTGGGATAAGGTGCGAGAATTGCTGTTCATCCTGTGCCCTGAATCACCCGCTGCGCAGCCACCTTTCTCAGAGTATCATCTGCCCATCGATTCTCCCCCTTCACTCAATACCGCGAGATCGTCCCTGGCTGAAGTTTTGCAAACCGGCCATCTGGATAGGCATTCTGAAGCTTGCGAATTGCTGGACGCACTTCCCAGTTGCACTGCGGCATGTAGCGGTCAATGTCATTCTCTTGACTGGCAATGCATTTTTTATCACCCCGCCCCGTGTTCCATCCCTTTCTGCACACCAACGAGTACGGGTCATCACGCACAAGACAACAGCAGAATCGATGGGAGTCAGAACAACAGCAGCAGCTCTCGCCGCAGCAATGAGTGCCTGATTAACGGTCTCTCCATTGTCTGGCATGTGGTTGGTGTCAGGGGAACCTCCCTTTCGGCCCGGAGACGCGTCCGATTCCGGTCCGATTCCGGTTCCGACTCCGGTCCGGCCCTCCATCTCGCCCGCACAATCACCGATCCGTCAACACCCTCCCGACGGTCGCCCTGGGACCTCGCCTGCGACGCCGCCCAAGCCTTCTGTGCCCGACAGTGGCAGCTACGGACAAGCAGTATATAGTCAGCTTCCTAGCAGGCGGACCCTTAGAGTTTCTTCTCTTTGGATCCTCCCCTGCTAGGTCAGCTTCATTTGTATTCGCTTACCAATGTTCACGCTTTGGATCCTCCCCTGCTAGGACCTTGATCTCAGGCCTCCGGGGTTGCCCTTACAGTTGGCCTTCTCCTCCTTTCGCCATTCACGGAACTTCTTCTGGCGAATGGCAGCAAGCGCTTGCTTTCGCTCCTTGGCGTCTGCCTTCTTTTGCTGCTCTTCCGCCAGTCGATCTTCACGGCTTTCAGCCCACCGACTCCTTGCTTTGCTCATGAAATGGGTCTTCGCTTCCTCGGAGTCTCATCTCTTGCGGAACCCAAACTGAAGCAACGAGCCTTGGTGGTTGCTAATCAGTGGGATGTTTTGTGTTGATGGTGAAGGCTCAGGATTTCGTCCTTGAGCATGGACAGGAATTGTCGCTGGCGTTGGCAAGAGCCGTGCGGGAAGATCAGGTTCGTCTTCTGAATTGGAGTCGATGACAAGTGTGGTCCTCTGCCTTTTTTTAGGCCGGTCAAACTCGTCATCAGAAATGTCGATGGGAGAGGTAGCACGAGTGGTTGCAGTTGAGGGCGAGGGAATGGCCGGAGATGAATGGGGAGCAGACGAAAGTGCTGGCTTGGACACGATGGCAGCCTTCTTTGGTATCCTGCTCCCGCCTCCTTGGCTGCTTGAAGTAGCCGAGGAAGCCATGCATCGATCCATGGCTCCCGCTCATTGGGCTTGAGCTGTTTGACGACAGATTTGAGAAATGGAACAAGGGAATTACATTCATACATATCCTGTTTAAATAGCTTCGGAACTCGCGTCTAAATTTGAACAATGCATCTCTGTGCTTTGACCAACCCATGCACACTGTTTCAATGTTTCTCATCGCATAACGCATAATGCCGAGCCTGTTTCCTGTTTCAGTACATTATGTAAGCGTAACGCTCTGGGAGGTGTTTCACCCCCACAGAATGCTACAGTAGCTTGCAGCTACGAGTAGCACAGGCGGCTTGACCGAGGAACGCTGGGCGCCTTTGTTAGATATAACTATTAATGTAAAGTCTACTGACACAATCACAGGAAAAGCTATTTTTATACTATAGTTACATATTAGAGTAGAATAGTTTGTTTTTGAAGTGTTTGCTAGTAAAAGGTCTGATTAAGGTGTGTTGTAAGATTCTAATACATAATATATTACATTCTTCTGGAGTTAGTCTGCAAAGTACATTAAGCTGAAGCTAAGATAATATGTTATAGAAGAAGTAAAGTAAAAGTGGTAACAGGTCTGCTCACTTGAATTCTAAGATGGCTACTAATAAAGTTACAAAAAATAGACGCATTATCTGCATCTTATAAAAACTTAGGGTCCCATTTAAGAACACAGCCTCGGGAGATAGCTTACAAATTGCAGTTGTTTAGGAAGTATTAAAGGATGTAAGGTAAAATAGCTTTAGGAATGCATATATAGATAAGAGAGAGGCCTACAAGAGCACTAAATAACTTAAGCTTGATATAGCAGTTAAATGAGAGTTGATGTTCTGCCCTTCAAGATGTGCTATTGTCTATTTTGTATAATAGCATGTCACAAACAAAGCCGGATCAGATGATGGGCCAACTTAATAGATGATCAAATGATCTAACTTCGTAGTAGTTGATGATGAGATCAAGTTATATTGATAGGTATGATACAACTGGATGACTATTTCCCAGAAGGTAGAAGGGAAAAGAGAATAAAAGCGCTGGGGGCAGAAGGCCACCAGCGTCCTACTTATATACTAATTCCAGGCTGACTAATACTAACTCACTCTGACTCATACCGACTCACCCTGACTCACGTCATGACTCACTCTGACTCGGATTGATATGACTCAGTCTAAGTCATTGATGGATTGATGGATGATATCATCTAACCAAATATGGTAAGGCTGTGCTAGCCTTCGTTTGGGGTTGGTTGGTGTGATGTGGTAGATGTTGATGATATCATCAGAAATTGATGATGGGATCAAATGTGCCACT